AAATTTTAAATTTTTTTTATTATTTACCTCTTTAATTATTTAAACTAATTAATTTTTTTCTCTCATATTTTTTTAAAATAATTATTTTTAATGATTATTTATCTCTGTTATTATAAAAATGGATAATAAAAAGTAATTAGATTTGTAAATAAGAAAAAAATTAGGTACTTTTTAATTAAATTTACCACATAAAACAATTATCTCTCTCTCCATTGTTATCTTGTAAGCTTACTATTCTTAGGCTTTGTTTGGCACGACTTTCTTACTGTTTCTTTAATCAGTTTTTTAATTAAAAATTTAAATTTTTTGTACAAAAAAGATGCTTTAAGAAAACGAAGTCTTAGTGTACATCTCAAATTGCTTGGGATGAACTCAAGTCAAATTGATCAGCCAACAAATATGAACTTTCCATATCAATCAAACAGAATCAAACAAGCGACTAGGCGACATCGAACTTGGTATCAACAAAAAGTTGACCCTATTGGAGGTGAGACTATTCTTTGCGCAGTCCAAACGCGTCCAGAGGTCAATCCGGACGCGTCATGTCATCTAATGTACTATGCATTGGATGATGTGGCTCATCTTGATTGGCCTCCGGACGCATCAACGCATCCGAACACTGCATATAATAATTTTTCCTATTGGAGAGAACTCGATAGCAATGTTGGAATGAAGCAGCATTAAGTATTTGAAGCATGCCATCTATAGCCATCTATATGAATAGCCAACACTTGTAGAGGCAGTCGGTAATTTCATGTGAATTTGCTTATTATTTGGAAAGTCTTAATATGTATCTAATGTAATTAAATGAATATAATTAGAGTATCTTCATTTTATGACAAACTTATGTTATATCATATTCTGTAATTTATGTATTTACCTTTAATACTAAATTTCCATATAATATTGCCTCTAACCTCACCTATATATGGAGGTTCATTGGGCAAGCCTACGGATACAATTGATTGTCTCTACCTCTCTATGTTCAAGCAACAAAAAACATTGTAGAGCTTCTCTCCGACCCTTCCACTGTCCCCGTTTCTCTTAGTTTATATACCAACAAAAAAGATCGTAAGTCTTCGTTTGGAATGATTTTCTTATTATTTTTTGAAGCAATTTTTAAATACATAAATCAAAACTTTTATAATAGAAAGTTGCTTTAATAAGTAGTAAGAAAGCCGTCCAAAAAAAAAAAACCTAAATTTAATTCAATATCCTCAGAGGTGTGGTGAGCCTAAAATATAATGTAAAGAGCTAAAAGTAAAGATTTCCGACTACCAAAATAGAGACCAACTAAAATGACAATATTCACTTTTATACATATTTCATATTAATCATTTGTAGTTGACGGCAATGCGGTGATGCAGCGTCGACGCCGCTGTGACTGCCGCAGCCAGCCGCCAAAGACATGGAAAAACGTGATTTCTGCGGCTGCCGAATTCAAATTAGGTCAGGTTGATCCGAACCTGAAGCGGGTCAGGTTTGGATCCGAAAATTTGACTTGTATGCAAAAAAACGGATCTAGTTTGAGTTGACCCGAATAATGCTGGGTCAGTTTCGAGTTTGATCCGAACCCGATCCGTGACCCGAAATTGATACCCCTCTGGCTGACAGTCCATTGTATGGGCTCTATTATTGGTTGCCGGTCTTGGCGGCGGCGGCGGCGGCGGCGGCGGAGTGGTTGCAACAGGTAGGGAAGCTATTAGGAGGTGGAGGAGGAGGGCGAGGAGTGTCGTCCGTCTGAGTGGTCTATGTTGTGGAAAGTTGATCGAACTGTTGTCGGATCACTGCGGCAGCGAATATAAGAGCCATGGCATGCAGTTCTTTGTTAATTGGTGAGAAAGTCCAGCGTGCTTCTGGTTGGTTGATGACTTTTTTTAATATTAATTTAATTAAAATTTTAGAGATTTTTATTTAACTATTTTAATATCATCATATTTTATTATAATTTCTTCTATTATTCTATTTTTATCAAAAAATAAATGCATCGTTGATTTCAAATAAATTAATAGTAATCATATTTTTAATGAGATTTAAATATTTTAGTGATGATTTAAATAATTAAGTATTAGAGTTATATGCATATAAAAATTTTATGACATATATGCAATTTTTCAGTAATATTTATTTCAATTTTTAAAGTTATTATAATTCATTATATTTTATGAAGAATGTATCAAATTTTATAATCCAAAAAAATTCAAAATTAAGATAGCCCAGTTTTCATCTCTCTTTTTTTTTTTTTTTTTTTTTTTTTTTTGGGTTTGTTTTTTTTTTTTTTGTGGGTTTGGAAAAATAAGGGCAAAGCCCAGTTTTTATATCCAAAGGTTACAAAAGGAACTACGAAGAAACTTTGCCGGACAAGTCCAGAGCAGACATAAGGAAAATAAAAACCTGTGAGCTAAAGTTATCAAGATACAAACCGTAGTAAGAAATAAAACATAAAGAGGATGACAGAGAAGTGAAGTATGAGAAATTTGGACTCTGAAAGCCAATATTCTCCCAGTTAGCATAAAATGCGATCAATCTGAACCCGAAAAATTTCAACTTAATTAGGTAGAAATAGTATTTTTGAGATTAGGTTTGTATAAGATGTGTATAATTCTTTATTTATAATTTCTTCATGTTTCTTAACTATAAGTTATCTCATTGTATTTTTTCATAGAAGTTGTCATCGATGCACCACTCTAACCATCGTTGTCAGCCGATTGTGATCTCTTTGACCACCGTTGCCCACCCATTACAGTCCATTTGACCAATATCGTCCACCTATTATGATCCCTGAAACCTCTGTCGCCGGCCTAGTAGATCTCTTTGACCCTTGTCGCCCGCCGTTTATGGTCCCTTCAACCATCGTCGTCTGACTATGATCTATTTGACCTCCTTCGTCAACCCAACATTCTCTTGAAAATAACTCTCGTATCATTGGAATCTTCCTACCTCAACTATGTAATATGCTCTATATGATGCACACTTAGCTAATGCCTTCCCTAGATGAAATGACATCACTTGTAATCAACAACGAGCACTAGTGGATTAATTTCAACTGGATTAAGCCCCGTGATTTTTTTCCTTTTTCAGAATTTTCCACGACTTTCGCAGCTCTCTCTCCTTATCAATATGTGTATTAGATTCGTTCAAAGTTAAGACATTAAGTCTTTATCTCTCTACCACCATGAATATTTTAGGACGTAACAATATTTATTTATATTACTTTTTTTATTTTTTTATTTATATTATCACTGAAATATTCAAATTTTATTAAAAACATCATTAATATTAATTTCTTTAAAATCAATGATGCATTTAATTTTGATAAAAAAATAGAATAAAAGATGAATTTATAATAAAATATGATGATATTAAAAAAGTAATAAATAATTGAATATCATTATTACATACAAAAATTTATTAAAAAAAAAGTTAAATAAAAGTGTCTAAAATTTTAACTAAATTAATATTCGAAAGAAGTCACCAACCAACCAGTCGCACGCTGGACTTTCTCACCCACAGCAAACTGCAAGTCCGCACCGAACCATCCGCCTTATCACGCAATCATACACTTATATTCTCCGCCGCACTGATTCCACCTCCATTCCAAGAACAAATGAACAATGGCAGCCAGCGACAACAGTCCGATCAACTTTGCACAACATAGATCGCTCAAACGGGCGGCACTTCTTGCCTTCCTCCTCTTTATGTCGTCCCTACCTGCCGCCACCGCTACCGAGACTGGCGACCAATAATGGAGCCCCATACAACCCGACCGTCAGCCCAACACTGTCCATCATCATCATAGCCTTCATCGGCGCTTTATGCGTGCTGATCTTCTTCTTCATCTACATACGCTGCTGTATTGGCGGCCATAGATCCCTCGTGGCTCCGGCGGCGATCACCCTACCCCAGCACAGGGGGCTAATCAGAGGCTTGGATTCAGCTCTGCTGCAGACATTTCCGACGATGGTGTACTCGGATAGTCGGATGTGAAGGGGCGTAAATTAGGTAAAGAATCGCTAGAGTGCGCGGTCTGCCTCTGCGCATTCGAGGACGACGATCTCCTCCGCTTATTTCCAATATGAAGCCATGTGTTCCACCGCAACTGCATCGATGTCTGGCTCGATTCACACGTCACCTGCCCCGTCTGCCGCAGCAATCTCGCTGCTAATCCGTTTCCGGAGACGGATCACGCCACCATTGCCGTTGATCAGGAGGTGGATTTGACGGATTTAGTTCGAATCGGGAGCCAGAGGAGATTGAGATCGGGGTCTGTGAGAGGGGTTCCTATGGGTTCGGTATCGAGAGCAGATTGGGAGGCAGTGGTTGCTGGTGGGGACGGAAGATTCAGGCTGCAGCTGCCGGAAGATGTGAGGAGGGAGATATTGGAAGCTGGGCGGCTCCGACGATCGGCGAGTTTGGGGTTTTTGGGGCGAGAAGGGAGGGGAGTTCGAGGAGAGGGTATAGGGATGGTCGAATCGGCGTTTGGAGGAGTCTCCGGTTAGTGCAGTCGGCGCGGTGGCCCATTTTGGGGAGGAACTCGTCGGCGAGGGGAAGAGAAGTGGTGGTTGAGGCCGGATTCGTGCCGGGAGACTGGAAAGGAGGTCGGCTTGCTTCAATTAAAAGATCTTTTGGCATGATTAATGGAGGAGGCAATGGCGGCATTTTTTTATTTATATTATCACTGAAATATTCAAATTTTATTAAAAACATCATTAATATTAATTTCTTTAAAATCAATGATGCATTTAATTTTGATAAAAAAATAGAATAAAAGACGAATTTATAATAAAATATGATGATATTAAAAAAGTAAGAAATAATTGAATATCATTATTACATACAAAAATTTATTAAAAAAAAAGTTAAATAAAAGTCTCTAAAATTTTAACTAAATTAATATTCGAAAGAAGTCACCAACCAACCAGTCGCACGCTGGACTTTCTCATCCACAGCAAACTGCAAGTCCGCACCGAACCACCGGCCTTATCAGTTATCACTTATCACGCAATCATACTCTTATATTGTCCGCCGCACTGATTCCAACTCCATTCCACAGAACAATGGCAGCCAGCGCCAACAGTCCGATCAACTTTGCACAACATAGATCGCTCAAACGGGCGGCACTTCTTGCCTTCCTCCTCTTTATGTCTTCCCTACCTGCCGCCACCGCTACCGAGACTGGCCACCAATAATGGAGCCCCATACAACCAGACCGTCAGCCCAACGCTGTCCATCATCATCATAGCCTTCATCGGCGCTTTATGCGTGCTGATCTTCTTCTTCATCTACATACGCTTCTGTATTGGCGGCCATAGATCCCTCGTGACTCCGGCGGCGATCACCCTACCCCAGCACAGGGGGCAGATCAGAGGATTGGATTCAGCTCTGCTGGAGACATTTCCGACGATGGTGTACTCGGATGTGAAGGGGCGTAAATTAGGTAAAGAATCGCTAGAGTGCGCGGTCTGCCTTTGCGAATTCGTGGACGACGATCTCCTCCGCTTACTTCCAATATGCAGCCATGTGTTCCACCGCAACTGCATCGACGTCTGGCTCGATTCCCACGTCACCTGCCCCGTCTGCCGCAGCAATCTCGCTGCTAATCCGATTCCGGAGACCGATCACGCCAGCATTCCCGTTGATCAGGAGGTGGATTTGACGGATTTAGTTCGAATCGGGAGCCATAGGAGGTTGAGATCGGGGTCTGTGAGAGGGGTTCCTATGGGTTCGGTATCGAGAGCGGATTGGGAGGCAGTGGTTGCTGGTGCGGACGGAAGATTCAGGCTGCAGCTGCCGGAAGATGTTATGGAGATATTGGAAGCAGGGCGGCTCCGACGATCGGCGAGTTTGGGGTTTTTTGCGGCGAGAAGGGAGGGGAGTTCGAGGAGAGGGTATAGGGATGGTCGAATCGGCGTTTGGAGGAGTCTCCGGTTAGTGCAGTCGGCGCGGTGGCCCATTTTGGGGAGGAACTCGTCGGCGAGGGGAAGAGAAGTGAGGGTACAACTTGATGATTTTAAAAATACTCTAAATTGTTTTTGAATCATTTTTTTTTCACCTTTATATTCATTTTTTTTCACCTTTCTATTTAAAATTTATAGTGAGCTAACATTTTGATTTTAATAATTATTTTCAATAAATTTGTAAATTCTATATTTTATTGTATTATATTACACACAACTAAATGATTATCTTATTTCACTTTAAATATTTAGATATTAGTTTTATAAAAAAATTTATAACTTACACATAAATTTTTTTATATAAATGATTTTTAGTGATTCAAAATTCAGATCAAGATAAGAAATTATGAAAATGTATATTTTGTTAATTTAGTTATAATTTAAGTACAAAAAGATAGTAAAAATAAATTATATATTGCTTCATTTCCCAATGGATAAGGGGCTACTTTCTAAGTTTTGGTTTTTTTTTTTTTTGGGAGAATTTGGGGCAGAGCCCATTTCATTGATAAAAAGAATTAGAAGAAAAGCAAATTACAGTGAATATAATCAAAATCTCAGACAACAAAAAGATATTATGATTCTTAAAAGCCAAAAAGTAATAAATCTTAACCAGAAATAAACCAAAAAACAAACAAGGTGGCAAAAGCCACGAAGGACTCAGGTCACTCGATTTTGTAATATTCGGATCATTTGAGAGGGTCTAAACAAGAGCGAAGCTCCTGGTTGTCAAAAAGATCATCCTAGAGGCAGCTGTAGAACAGTATTCATCATCATCCTTCCAAAAAATTGACTCCCAGCGTCCAAAAATGATATTAGAAATAGAGAGAACAGAGAAAAAACTCTCCAGTAGAGAGATTAAACAGCTACAAAATCTGCATGAAAGGCACCCGCCGAGAACCCAGACAAAAGAAATCAGTGATTTTTCCATCCCAGAATTTTGCTATGGTCCGCCTTCCTAATTTTTCCAGTCACAGTGGCTTGGTAGTCAAAAATACTCCCAAAAATTCTAACATTACGGGCTCTCCATAAGAAATATATCATAGCCGAAGCAGATAGCAAATAAAAATTATTAAAGTAAGCCGAATTGCCTTGCTCCAGAATCAAATAGCTGGTGGAGATTAGGCCTCATCAGGAGTGCATTAAAAGTATAATCACATTCAAAAAAACAGATGGGTGATAGTTTCTGGAGCAGAATGGCAAAAACAGCAGGTATTATGAGTGATGATCCCACAGATAGCTAAAACATCAACAGTTTTTAACCCTCTCTTAAAGGCTAACCAAGTTGTAAACAGCATAACTGAGAGTAGAGTTTTTGTGCCAAAAGAGTTTGTGCCAAGTGACCTTGTCCAGGTTGGCAAAAAAATGAGCTCTGAAATTACCAAAGTGGGGGTTGTGAATGCCAAGCCAAAGATGCTCAGCATTATCATTCTCAATTTTAATCGCCTGGATCAGATTACAGGTGTAACAGTCAAAGCCAAGGTAAAATTATGAAGGATTTGTTTAGCATTCAAGTAATCAGCAATAGAGATACCACCGCAGTACCGCACCAAGGATGAAAGGAAAGTTTACTGTCATAGTTAATCGAAAAAGAGATGCAACGTTTAATAGTTTCCAATAATGTGAGCTGTAACCTGGCATACAGCGGCACAAATTTCTTTAAGCAAGAAATGGTGCACCTTATCCATTGGGATATGTAGCAATATATATTTTACTTTTACTATTTTTTTTGTACTTAAATTATAACTAAATTTACAAAATATACATTTCCATAATTTCTTATCTTAGTCTGAATTTTGAATCACTAAAAATCATTTATATAAAAAAAATTATGTGTAAGTTATAATTTTTTTTATAAAACTAATATCTAAATATTTAAAATGAAATAAGATGACCATTTAATTGTGTGTAATATAATAAAATAAAATATATAATTTACTAATTTATTGAAAATAAGTATTAATTTCAAAATGTTAGCTCACTATAAAAGTATAAATTATTAAATAGAAAGGTGAAAAAAATGATTAAAAAATAATTAAGAGTATTTTTAAAATCATAAAGTTGTACCCTCACTAATAAAGATTTGAGGGCGTATTCGTGCCGGGTGACTGGAAAGGAGGTCGGCTTGCTTCAATTAAAAGATCTTTTGGCATGATTAATGGAGGAGGCAACGGCGGCAAAAGAGGCGGAGATGTTGGCAGTGGCGACACCGGCGGAAGCAGAGTTAAACCGGGCGACGAAGATGCTTCCACGGCGGCATAATACTCAGGTATGAATATTTTTGTACTATAAATTTTGTTTATATTTATAGAATTATAGCTACGAATTATGTAAGTTATAAGTAGCTATATAAATACATTTGAATCTTTTAAATCATTCGTGGAATTTGTAGGATTTCGATGACTTCCTATTTTACTCGCAAATAATCTTTTTGTTAAGAACAGAGGCGGAATCATCATTAATTTTTTTAGGGGAAGCAAATTTATAAGTAATTATTATTGTTGTCTCCAATTTGGCTTAACACTTTGCTACAAAAAAATGGATCAATAAAGATAAAAAAATAGTGAAAAAAAAAATGATCTCTAAAATTATTTTTTAGCTATCAAAAGTAACTTAGGCTTCTAAATAATAAGGAAACTTGATATTAGCCATTAAAAAAAATTGGGTTATAATTTTGTCACTAAAAGTATGATTTTAATGACTAATGATTTTTTGTACATAATACATTTAAAAATATAATCAATATTTTATATAATGACAATTATTCTTAAAAAAAATTAGGTTGAAGTATGGATGATTTGTTTGTAAAAAAAATCAAAATGGTGTAATTGATTAATCATTCAATTTCTACTAAATGTATGTTGGAGTTGCCTTGAATTTGGTTTGACCCCTATTTGTTCATATCCTTGATTGTCGTATGCTTTATAGATATGTTAGATGTCCAAGAGGGCAGCGCCCTATGGCGGGATTCGACCTGTTTGTTTAGGTTGCGGGGTTAAGGGGCATCGCCTCTAGTGGAGTTTCCGGGGACACCATGCCAAGAATAAATTTTGGTTGTAAGGATTTTTTTGAATTCAAATTAATAAATAAAATGATGATTTTTTTTTTATTATTTGCTAGGGGCTATTGCCTAAAAATCATAGTATTTTAAATCTTTTAGGGGGGCTCGGGGTGGGGGCAAGTGCCTAAAAATCGTTATAGTAAAGACTAAAAAATAGAATGAGGGTGACAAATTACCTAAATAATCACATAATAATTTTTTTTTTTAATGTTTAGGCTAAAAGGTGATCCGCCCCTAGTTAAGAATTAGAGAATTTTAAGAGGCCTAGGTGAGTATGGAGAATAGAAAAAGATGAATTAGATTGCAAAGTATATATATATATATATAATTTAGGGGTGTCAATTTCGGGTCACGAGTCGGGTTCGGGTCGAACCCGAAACTGACCCGGCACTATTCGGGTCAACCCGAACCCGACCCATTTTTAAAAACGGGTCAGTTTTTCCTGACCCGGATCCGACCTGCTTCGGGTCAACCCGACACGACCCGAATGACCCGTTTCCAACCAGAAAATGGTTGTTTTCGGGTCAAACACGGGTCAATTTCCTCTTTTCGGGTCAAAAACGGGTCAATCTCGGGTTTCCGGGTCAAAATCGGGTTTTCGGGCCAAATCGGGTCAAAGGGTTAACCCGACCCGATTTTTGAAACGGGTCGAAATGCCTAACCCGAAACGGACCCGTTTCGGGTTGACCCTAACTCGAAATTTTCGGGTCGGATTTTCGGGTCGTATCAAATATTGACACCTCTATATATATATATACACACCCAAAATGTGATTCCTCGTCTTTTTTTTTGTAGGGCTTATGCGGCTATAAAAAAGGCTATAGACATTACATATGACTTGTGGCATGAGCCAATAAATGATTGCTTAGCTTTATATCTTGTTTAGTTCCAAGACTAGTCCCATGGGCCTGAGACTTTGCTAGCAAGAGCAAGTCCTTCTAGAAGAATATGTACTTTGAATGTGAAGGTCTCATTCTTAGAGGCTTTACTTTGACCTTTGTGCTCGAATGGCAAGTCCCTTAAGATGATGATACCAGTAAGTCGAGGACTATCTTAGTTTGGGGGGACAATAGTTATAGACATCTGAGATGTGTACTTATTGTAGTCAAATCGGGGGATACATGGCTCGATAACAGACGGACTTAAGAGTTTGATCTCTATCTAGATGAGTGTCCTCCTCGTCCTAGAAAGAATGTGTTTAAATTCCCTGATATGTGTCTTTAGAACAACTTCTTGATTTAGTTGAACTTGGCAAGTCACCTCTCCTATTAGTGAGTGCCTTAAATGTGCAATGTAATTGCTTTGGATGAGTACTCTTATTGGAACCTACTAGGTACATAATAAACACTTACACGATATGTATGAGTACATATTCAATTCCTCGATTCACTTCTCTCTTTGACAAGCGAGTGGCAAAAATAAATATTTAATGCTTTTCTTAAAATAGTAGAAAAGAGTAACTATAAGTTATTTGTCTATTATTATTTTAGTCTTAGACGTAGTGCAGATTTCTTTTATGCAATCCACAAAAGAATCAAAATTTGTAAAATCAAGAAACTCTAAAACTCCATCATTTACTAATATTTTTTTTATTCTTTCATTAGAGATATGTCCTAATCTCCATTGCTATAATTTGGAGGATTTATATTGAATGGTACCACGCTTAATATGCATAATAAAAAAATATATAATCAAAGTGGGATTCATATCAAGTTCAAGCTAGTCATTAATTGAAGAAACTTCACAAATGATTATATTATCTTTTAACAAATGAAAAAAAAAAAAAAAACAAAAAAGATTCCAACAAAAGTTAACAACTCAAAATCATAAGGTAATAATTTAGAAATAGACATAAGCATCTCTGAGAAAATTGAAATGCAAAAGGTTCTTTGAGGATCTAATATGAAATAAAAAGATAGCATATCCCAATTGCTTCTTAGTTCTTATAAATAGTAGGGGTGTCAAAAGCAGGTTATGGGTTAGATTCGGGACAATCTGATTCCGACCCACTATTGTTTGATCTGATCTGAACCCGACCCATTTTTGCAAATATGTCAAAAATTTCAACTTCGACCCGACCCATCGAATTTCCGAGTTGACTCGACCTGACATGAAACCACGAGAGCAAAAGGTTACCTTTGCAACAAGCGAGCGCCCTCGTTACTTCTGATCCAATAAACGGCCAGAGCTGTCGTGACTTTCAAAGATCGATCCAATGATCCCTTCCATCATGGTCGTTACTTCCGATCCAACGATCCTCTCGTCGTTGTCTTTCTAAACGGTGAGTTCTCGTGACTTCTGACCCGACAAAAGGAACGACGTCGAAGGAGGCAAGCTATTTGCTATCGTGACTTCTGACCCGACAAAGCCGGCGTCAATTCATCGAAGCCTTGAAAGAGGCGAGACTCGTGACTTTCAACCCGACAGAAGGAAAGTCGTCGAAGGAGGCGAGCTATTTGCTATCGTGACTTCCTACACGACAAAAGGTGGTGTCAATTCGTCGAAGCCTTAAAGGAGGCGAGACACATGACTTCTGACCCGACAGAAGGCGATATCGAAGAAGCATGTCGTGACTCATGAATTCTGACTTGACATTAGGAATGACGTCGAAGGAGATAAGGCAATGAGCTGTCGTGACTTCAGAACCGATAGAAGGAACTTAGGAACTACATCAAAGGATGGAAGGATGCGTCAAAGCCTCGAAGGAGTGAGTCCATTCTGGGTTGAAGTTGGGTTTTCAGGTCGACCCAAAATCGACCAGAATTCGCAATCAAGTCAAAATTTTAAATCTGAACCTGACCCGTTTTTCAAATGGATTAACCCTACAGGGAATTTTCAGGTCAAGTTCGTGGTCGAATTTTCAGGTCGTGTCAAATATTGACACCTCTAATAATTAAATAGATAAAGCGCTCAATTTGTGTTGGTCCATTTGGCTTATAAAAAGTTTCATGATATTGCCAAAGAGGATTGTAGAACTAGAATCAATCTACCAGTATCAGGAGTCATTTGCCTCATATGAGATTAAAAATTTAGAAAAGATATGAGATTCTTTCTTTTCAAACCAAATCTTAAATTTAGGATAAGCTTTTTCAATGTGTAAGAAGAAGCAATTACACAACTCTTCTTGGCCTATTGGTTGAGAGCTTTGACTTCCAACTAAGAGGTCCAAGGTTCGAGTCTATGTGTATGCGTTGTGTGTGTGAGTTTGCCTTAATTGGCCTAAATGTCCCAAAAAAAAAAAAAAGATAGTATACAGGTAAGAAAAACAAAAGCTTACATAAAAATATGAAGCAATTGTCAAAACCCTATCAGCACATGCTGCTTAAGAAAAGAAACAGTGAAAATACAAGTAAGAAATGAAAAAAATGAAGTAGAAAGGACTCAGATAAGCAATCAGCAAGAGAGCTCCCGAGCGTCCAAAATTTCCCTGGTTGCCAAAAAGAAAGCAGCAGCCGGCCATCCGAGGGGATAAAAAAGATTGCAATCATCATAGTCCTTCAAAACATCCAGCCAGTCCCTGGTTGCTCGAAGAAGCCGGCCTAGGGGCACCAAAATACCTTCCACAGCAAAGGCAAAGATCAAGTGAGCATATCTTGAAAGCATTTTTTCCTATGAATCTTGAGATAGACAGCCCTGTTAATCTTAGAAGTGATGGCAGATACACTATCAGAGCAATTTCCAAATAGTCTATCATTCATGGATCTCCAAATGAAATAGACAATGGCTGAAATAGATAGGAAATAGTAATTTTTCATATTGCTAGTAACTTCCAGCTCCTCAATATCACTATAAACTTGCCACAAATTAGGCCTAAACAGCATGGATTGCATTCTCGGCAAGAATCTCAGCAAAATACTGAAAGTGAAATCACATTCAAAAAATAGGTGATTCTGGGTCTCAAAATTAGAGTTGCAAAAGACGCATGAAGTGCCAACCGAAAGACCCCTAGCCGCAAGATTAGAAGCAGTTTTGAGACCCTCTTTAAAAGCCAACCAGGAATAGATAGAAAATCTAAGAGAGTTGTGTTTATGCCAAACAAATTTAAACCAGTTAACCTTCTCATTATCCAGATAGAACTCGTTAAGAAAAGTTTTGAAAGAAGGCTTAACAGATTTAGCCCAACCGCAATCAACCAGTTCCTCAGAAATAGGAATAGAAAGAATCAAATCAGTTAAGTAAGCAGGAAGAGAAGCAGGCAGAGACCAAATGCCATTAGAGATAAAACTGCCAACAACTACATTTGAATTGTAAATAAGAAATTCAAGGTTATCCTGCTTCAGTCGATCAGCCACCGAGCGCCCAAGGCACCAAGGGTCCCAATAAAAAGAGAGTTTACTTGTAGTAATGATTTTGAAATTCAAAGAGTGCAGAAGACTTTTGGCCACATCACATAAATTTTTCCAATATATAGAGCATTTGGTAACCTGGGAATTCCAAAAAGACCCATACTTTTCCTTCCACCAACAAAAAAGGAAGCTTTTAGAGCTATAAAAACGCCATATAACAGTGCATCCGCAGGCATAATATAGAGATTCAATAGATGGTATGCTCAGCCCGCAATAGATCTTAGGTTTGCAGGTATCCTTCCAAGATATCAAATGCATTTTACGTTTTTGAATATCCCCATAAAAAAGAAACCTGGAGCAGAGACTTTTAAGCTTTTTAATACAGGTTTTGGGTATCAGTGTGCCACGAACCCAATAGAGCAAAATGTTGTTGATAGTGTACTTAAGGTATTGAAGTCTACCAGCCATAGAAAGGGACCTCGCCTTCCAACCATCCAGGGAAGTAGTAATTTTATGCATAAGGGGTTGAAAGTCACCAATTTTCAACTTCCTATAAAATATAGGAATGCCCAGGTATTTAATCGGGGTGGAAGAGATAGGAATATTCAGGATATTACAAACAGCCTGCTCCTGATTAGAGTTCTTAGAGAAAACAATTTTGCTCTTGTTGCTGTTAACCCGAAGACCCGAGAAATTAAAGAAGCCCTCAAGAATGGAGTTCAAGCAATGAGCATTGTCCCGAGTGGCTTCAGCAAACACCAAAAGATCATCAGCATAAAGGAGATGAGAAACAGAGGTGTTACCAGCTTTCAAGCCCAAGAAATTATTATTGAGACTGGCCTCTTCAAAAAGAGAGGATAGACTGTCCATGGTGATGCAAAAAAGGTAAGGGGATAACGGGCAACCTTGCCTGAGACCCGAAGAGGAAGCAAAGTAGCCCTCAAGCCCCCCATTGATAGATACAGAGAAGTGGACATCAGCAATACAACCATAAATCCAGGAAACAAACTTATCAGGAAATCCAATAGCCAGCAATCGGTCAATCAAAAATTTCCTAGATACAGTGTCAAACGCCTTGTGAATGTCAAATTTGGCACAAAAGTATTGCTTCTTGTGGTTAGAATTGAAATCTTTGAAAAGCTCAGCCGCTAAAAGAATGTTGTCAGAAATAATTCTGTCTTTGATGAAACCAGACTGGCTAGGATGAATGATCAAGGGCATAACATCTTTCATTCGATTGGCAAGGAGTTTGGCAATAATCTTATAAAAAGTATTGCAAAGGGATATGGGTCTGTAATCCACAATATCCTGAGCATGAGGCCTTTTGGGGATAAGGGCAATAGCTGTAGCCTTAGCTTGTTTGGGCATAGTAGCAGTGGTAAAGAAAGATAACACAGCCTCACAGAGTTGTCTGCTAGTAATGTTCCAAGTTGATTTGTAGAATTCAAAAGTATAGCCATCCGGGCCAGGGGCCGAGCAAGTGGGAGAAGAGAAGACAACATTTTTAATCTCATCCACAGTGACCGGAGCAACCAAGAGAGGAATGAGGCTGGGTGGAAGCTGCCGAAGAATAGGAGTATTCCAGCTAGTAGTGTTCTGAGGGGAAGCCGTGTTGAAGAGCTTATGAAAATGATTAACAATGGCTTTGTTAATATCAGCAGGATTGGAAAAAGTCCCCTCAACAGTGGTAATGCATTTGATCTGATTAGAGTTTTGTCTAACATTGATCCTGGAATATAAAAACTTTAAATCATCCTCCCCATTCGAAAGCCATTTTGCTTTTGCCCTTTGAATAATCCAAGAGGACCAGTCAGAGTTTTTAACCGCAAGCTTGTGGTTAATATCTTTAAGAGCCAAATTGAGGTCATGATCAAGAGGATTATCCTGAATTTGACAAAGAAAAGAGTTTTGTGAAGCAGTAAGTTCAGAAATATCATAGAGGAGGTTATTGGAAGAAACCCAATTTTTGGATTTGATACTGATCTTGAGAGTCTTAAGCTTTTGAAAAAAAGCATAAATCGGACTGCTGTGGAATCTTTGAGAAAAAACCTGAATAAGAGTGTCCCAAAATTCAGAGTTAGACAACCAATAATTCTTAAAAAGAAACCGGTGCTTCTTGTGTTTGTTAAGATCAATTTGCAAAATGATGGGAGAGTGATCTGAAATCTGAGGGTTGTCCACAATGTAAAAGGAGGTAGGAAAATTCCCAAGCCAACGGTCATTGACTAACATCCGGTCAAGTTTGATGTGTATCGGGTTGTCAATTCTTTGGTTAAACCAAGTGAAGTAGTGGCCAATAGAAGAAAGATCATGAACAGCAATATTAAAAATCATATTGTTAAAGTCGGCCACTTTGCTATTCGAGAGTAAAGAACCTCCCGCTTTCTCATTAGAAGACCTGCAGCAGTTAAAGTCCCCTAGAATAATCCAGGGGATCGAAATACCAGGGGCAATGTCGGTGAGATCCTTCCAGAGAGTGAGCCTTTCTTCCAAAGAATTCGAAGCATAAACAACAGAAACACAGTAAACTTCCACATCACCAGAGAAAACCGAGCCATGGATTAACTGGCTAGAAGTAAAGGCAGGCTTGAAACTCACAGTAGAAGAGTTCCATTTAATCCATATACGACCAGGGGAAGCTAAATCAAAATTATCGAAGGAGCCTTCAGTGGGGAACACAGAATGTGTAGAGTTGAACCAGAGGTTGTCATGAGAAGAAGGGGTAATTCTTGTTTCCAAAAGGAAAAGCAAGTCCAGATTATAGTTTTTAACTAGATTTTTGCAACAAAAAACCTTGTCAGGGCTGTTGAACCCATGGGTGTTCCAGGACGCCATGAGGGGGATCCTGGTCATTGGGATTTAGAGGTGGGGGTGGTGGCCTTTTTGGCCGATTTGGCTCTTGTGGACTTGGCTGTTGAAGTGGAAGCTACATTTTGAGGAGTAGGTTGGCTATTGCTGGAGGTATTGGGTTTTTTGGTGGAGTCAGGTGGTTTATCCGGTTGGTCACGATGGGTGGTAGAAGAAGAAGGATGGAAGTCTGACTGGGCAGATGAGGATTCTGGTAAGTGGTCTTGGTCAGTAAGGGCATCAAATTTATTTTTAGTTGGGACAGGAGGGGAAGTATGCAGAGTGGGTGAGGGGATAATAATGGTGGTAGGTGAGGGTGGAATGAAGTCCTCAGAAGGCGAATTAAGGTTAGGTAAAAGAGTGGCTATTTCAACAGCCTTAGCAGTAGGTGGGTCTGTTGAAAGAGAGGTAGAAGGTGGAGGGGGTTGGGACTGAAAGGTAGTAGAACTGGGCGGCTTAGGAATGTTCAACCTCGGGGGTAGCTTCCTGGGTTTGCGGCTGGTGCTTCTGCCACGGTTTTGGCTGGTCTCAGTGAGCTGAGGAGTAGGGTTTTTAGGGCAGGTGTTAGGAGAATGCATGATGGAGTTACAGAAGGAGCAATGAGAGGGCTTCCAGTCGTATAACACAGTGAGAGGGAACGTTTTGTCATCCACGGTGTAGTAAATCACATCCGGCAAAGGCGAAGCACTACTCACCTGGACACAAACCCGGGCAAAGGTGAGTCTCGTTTTGGCCGCAGTGAGTGCGTCCACCGCGAGCGGGATGCCGACGCAGCTCGCAATCTTGGAAATGCCCTCCGGCGTCCAGCAAGAGAGCGGGAAATTTTTGATTTTGATCCAGAGGGGGATCGATGGAAACTCCTCACGAACGGGGGTGAAGTCCGGAGTCCACTTCTGCAAAATGAAGGGCTTTCCGAAAAAGAACCATGGGCCACCAGACCAGGCCATATCATAGTCTTCGCGGTTGTTGAACTTGAGAAGAAAGAAGCCGTCATCTAGGGTAAGCAGAGAGAGGGATCCTTTCAAGTTCCATGCTTTTTTGATAGTGGTAAGCAAGGCTTCATAGTACGGCCGTCTACCGATGGAATAGCCGACCAGGGACAGGGACCATTCAGGAGCTCCGGCGTTGAACTGAGCAGATGTGAAATGAGCCGTAGCGTTCTCAGTGGGAAAGTGAGAGATCGAGGAAGTAAAGTCGTTTGAGACAAGCGGTTGGGAGGCGATGAGGCTCTTCCAGTCTCTAAGAAGAAGAGTAGAGGAGGAGGAGGGTGGATTGAACGGAGGATGAGGGAGAAATGACATCCCAGGGGAGATAATCCCCGTGGGAAGGGTGGTGGCGGCCAGGGAAACTCAGAGGAAGCCAAACCCTAGCAGAGCTCAGAGATATATTTTTCCGCCCCAAGAAGAAGCAATTTATTATACTCTTTTTAATTTGATTGACATTGTCTCTTCCCTTTTATAGTGTACTTCTTTTCATGAGTTGCTAAATTAGAACTTCTTCTAATCTTTCAACATCGAAATTTACCAATCTATCCGAGCACATTATATCCCATAAAATGATTGAATCAAAGAAACTTGTTTTTGAGAAAATGATGTGATTATTCATCAAAAGGTATCTCATTTGAGAAAGGATATATATATATTTTAGTTTTATACATCAAAATCAAGTTCTTTACAAGCAGTGTGGGACTAAAATTGACTTTGACATTGCGGCAGAAGAGAGAGGTGGAAGGACACATGCCACAGGGCAAAAACTGGAGGATTTTACATATATAATTAGTTACTTTAAACTAATTATGCAGTTTATAAGTTAGTTTAACTTATCAATAATTATTAAAGGGAGTTCGTGAGGTGCGAGTACACCCCTAAGTCAAGAAACCATTCGCTGTTGGGTTAGGTTTCGGGAGCAGCGACCAAGGCACGAGTTGTAGAATTTGTGGTGACGGGAGTATAGTTCATATTAAGTCGGTGCTAGTAGGCGGAGGCAGAATGACCTCTTTTGAGGCATATCTGGCAGGTCGTAGGAGGGTTCGACTGATTTCGAGTGGACGAGGTTCCACGAGAGAGATTTCTGCCGCATCGTTCGTATTGTTGATCTCTTCACTGAGAAGGAGAGGGTACAATTGATCAAGGCTGATGGGCGTTAGCATCGTTCGTATTGCCGTTTTGAAGGCTTGATAGGATGTCAGAAGACCGTTTAAGATATAGAGGATGATGTCCTCCGTGTCAACCGTGGATCCAGTGGATGCGATTTGATCAACCAAAGATTTTATATCCGTGAGGTAGTGTCATGGAAGTCTTCATAGAGATACGGTAAAGATTGACAATATATGGAAGAATGGAGGAGGAAATCATAGAACGGATGGCTGCCGCCATATTTTGATTGATAAGCAGCCATTGATCGTAAAAGGATATTTGGGGTGGTTGATCCGTCCGAGCGAGCTAAGGATCGGGGAGACGGAGGAATGGACAGATCAAGAAACTTTTCAAACTTGTTTGCGCATAATAATTTTATGATTTGAGATCGTCACATGTGGTAGTTGTCTGTGGATAAAGGAATGGGAACGATGTTCTTGAGATTTCCGACGATGAATTTCAGAGAAGATTGGATGGTGATCTCATCTTGCGTTGCCTGTTCTTGATTTCCGCCGAGCTGGGATGAGGAAGAACTTGCCATGGCTTCGGAACTTGTTCTCCCCCGCTCTGATACCATAAAGAGATTTAATATCTCTGTAGTATACCGCATGACTCAAGAGAACAAGAAGAGAGACAGGACAAGCGGTCAAGAATAGAATTATTCATTGGATATCTAATAGACCTAGAGTACAAGCTATATATAGATTGAAGGATAATAATAGGTGTTACAGTACACCAATATTAATCTGACAAGTGTACATATATGATAGGTTATGTGTTGGGTTTATTTTCATTCTATATTAACAATGATGCATTTATTTTTGATAAAAAATAGAATAAAAAGACGAATTTATAATAAAATATGATGATATTAAAAAATAATAAATAATTGAATATCATTATCACATACAATAATTTATTTAAAAAAAGTTAAATAAAAGTCTCTAAAATTTTAACTAAATTAATATTCGAAAGAAGTCACCAACCAACTATGGACTTTCTCACCCACAGCAGAACTGCAAGTCCGCACCGAACACCCGCCTTATCACGCAATCATGCCCTTATATTCTTCGCCGCACTGATCCCGCCTCCATTCCACTAAACAATGGCAGCCAGCCACAACAGTCCTATCAACTTTCCACAACATAGATCACTCAAACGGGCGGCCCTTCTTGCCCTCCTCCTCTATATGGCTTCCCTACCTGCTGCCACCGCTCAGCCGCCACCGCTACCGAGACTGGTGACCAATAATGGAGCCCCATACAACGCGACCGTCAGCCCAACGCTGTCCATCATCATCATAGCCTTCATCGGCGCTTTATGCGTGCTGATCTTCTTCTTCATCTACATACGCTTCTGTATTGGCGGCCATAGATCCCTCGTGACTCCGGCGGCGATCGCCCTACCCCAGCACAGGGGGCAGATCAGAGGCTTGGATTCAGCTCTGCTGGAGACATTTCCGACGATGGTGTACTCGGATGTGAAGGGGCGTAAACTAGGTAAAGAATCGCTAGAGTGCGCGGTCTGCCTCTGCGAATTCGAGGACGACGATCTCCTCCGCTTACTTCCAATATGCAGCCATGTGTTCCACCGCAACTGCATCGATGTCTGGCTTGATTCACACGTCACCTGCCCCGTCTGCCGCAGCAATCTCGCTGCTAATCCGTTTCCGGAGACCGATCATGCCACCATTGCCGTTGATCAGGAGGTGGATTTGACGGATCTGGTTCGAATCGGGAGCCAGAGGAGGTTGAGATCAGGGTCTGTGAGAGGGGTTCCTATGGGTTCGGTATCGAGAGCGGATTGGGAGGCAGTGGTTGCTGGTGGGGACGGAAGATTCAGGCTGCAGCTGCCCGAAGATGTGAGGATGGAGATATTGGAAGCAGGGCTGCTCCGACGATCGGCGAGTTTGGGGTTTTTTGCGGCGAGAAGGGAGGGGAGTTCGAGGAGAGGGTATAGGGATGGTCGAGTCGGCGTTTGGAGGAGTCTCCGGTTAGCGCAGTCGGCGCGGTGGCCTATTTTTGGGAGGAACTCGTCGGCGAGGGGAAGAGAAGTGGTGGTTGAGGCCGGATTCGTGCCGGGAGACTGGAAAGGAGGTCGGCTTGCTTCAATTAAAAGATCTTTTGGCATGATTAATGGAGGAGGCAATGGCGGCAAAAGAGGCGGAGATGTTGGCATTGGCGACACCGGCGGAAGCAGAGTGAAGCCGAGCGACGAAGATGCTTCCACGGCGGCATACCCTCAGGTATGAAAGCTTGATGTTGGAAAGTTGAAAGTTGAAATTTTACTTGACAGCGTTATTAGATAAGCGGCGAGGTAACGGCGTCGTTAGTGTTGCATGGGCGCAAGTAGTTCGCAACTTTGACGGGGGTGATGGGAATACGGTAAGGTATATGATTCCGAGGGACATCTTAACGGTGTGGATAATACTGGTATATATCCCGAACTATACGGTGAATTGTCTTACTTCTGAATATATTTGTACTATAAATTTTGTTTATATGTATTGCTACGAAGTATGAAAGTTATAAGTAGTAGTATAAATGCATTTAAAACTTTTGAACCATTCGTGGAATGTTTTGTAGGCGTTTGAATTAACTTTTAGTTAAGAATTAGAGAATTTTAAGAGGCCTAGGTGAGTATGGAGAATAGAGAATGATGAATTAGATGCAAAGTATTTTAAATAAAAAAGTTTTGAAAGTATCAAATATTCAAAAAGCTAAAATAAACCCAAAATGTGCTTCCTCATCATTTTTTTGTAGGGCTTATCGCGCTATAAGGAATGGGTACACAAATTGTATATGGCATGTGGCATGAGCCAATAAATGATTGCTTAGCTTTATATCTTGTTTGGTTCCAAGACGAATCCCATGAGCATGGGACTTTGCTAGCAAGAGCAAGTCCTTATAGATGAATATGTACTATGAATGTGGAGGAGAGTCCCTAGAGGCTTTACTTTAACTTTTGGGCTCGAATGACAAGTTCCATAAGGTGATTATACCTATAAGTTTATGACTATCTGAGTTTGAGGGGACAATAGTGATAGACCCCTGAGATGGATTCTTCTTCTAGCCAGATCGGGGGATGCAAGTGAAAACTAAGGAGGTTGATCTCATCCTTGAAAAATGTGCTTAAATTTCCTGATGTTTTTCTTAGAACAATTCTTCGATTGAGTTGATCATGGCTAGTCACGTCTCCTATTGGCAAGTGCCTTAAACATGCAATGTAATTGCTTTGCACGAGTACTCTTATTGGAACCTACTAGGTACAAAATAAACATGCACCTACATGGATATGTACGAACGCATATTTAGTTTCTCGATTTGCTTCTCTCTTTGACAAGCAAGTGGAAAAAATAAATATTTAATACTTTACTTAAAATAGTAACTAAGAGTAGCTATAAGTTATTTGTCTATTATTATTGTTGTCTTTTTTTGCCAATGTCTTTTTTTGCAATCCACAAAAGAACCAAAATCTGTTAAATCAAGAAACTCTAAGACTCCTTCATTTACTAATTTTTTTTATTCTCTCAATAGAGATATGTCCTAATCTCCAATCCTATAATTTTTAAGATTTATATTGAATGGTACCACACTTAATATAACATCATCATGTATAATCAAAAGGATATAATCAAAGTGGAATCCATATCAAGTTCAAACTAGTCATTAATTAAAGTAACTTCACAAATGATTATATTATCTTTTAACAAATGAAAAAAAAAAAAAAAAAACAAAAAAGATTCCAACAAAAGTTAACTCAAAATTAGGATTGCAAGCGAACCAAGCGTTCGACGAGCTACTCATTGCTTGGTTTGATTAAAGCTCGTTTGTGATCGTTTAATTAACTAAACAAACAAACTTGAACAATATTTTAAATACTCTCCTTAAATAAACAAGCTTAAACACTAATATGTTAGGCTCATTTATATTCGTGAACAACATCATTTAAGCTCGTGAACAAGCTTGACATTAGGCTCTATAAGAAGCTCGATTCGTGCTCGATTAATGTACAAGAGATTTCAGATTTGTCCATGTTTGATTAATTGTTTGTTTAAAATATTCATGAAAAAATATAAGATGAATCATAGATAACTGGTTCGTGAACGAGCTCATTTGATATTTTTATAAAATCACTAAATATGTTCACAAACATGCTCGATGTAATTATTTGTTAGGAGATTTCATAAAGCTCGTTTGTTAAGTTAATGAACATCTAGAAGTAGAGCTCATTTATATTTCTTTAAGGCTTGTTTGTTTAAAGCTCCATAAATACTAAACAAACTGAACATGAACCGAACAAAAACCAAACATGAACACTTATTAATTTAAACGAACCAAACATGAACACAAATAATAAAGCTCGAATCAAACATGAACCAACCTTGAACAAGTTGATAATAAATGAACACAAACATGAACACTCACATACTCGACTCGGCTCGATTCATTTCAAACCCTACTCAAAATCAGAAGGCAATAATTTTGAAGTAGACATAAGCACCTTTTGAGAAGATTGAAATGCAAAATGTTCTTTCAGGATGTAATAGAAACAAAAATATAGTATATCCCAATAGCTTCTTAGTTCATATAAATAGTAGGGGTGTCAAAAGAGTGTATTGGGTGGGGTTCGGGTAGAACCCAATCCCGACCCGCAACTGTTTGATCCGATCTGAACCCGTTTCGCTTTTGCAAACATGTCAGAAATTTCAACTCGGATTAAATCCATCGGATTTCTAGGTTAACTCGACCCAACACAAAACCAGGGAGCAAAAGGTTACCTTCGCAACTAGCGAGCTCCCTTGTTACTTCCGATCCAACTAACGGCCAGAGTGGTCGTGACTTCTGATGACTAATCCAATAATCTCTCATGTCGTCATCGTTACTTCCGATTGAACGATCCTCCCATCGTCGTCATTCTAAACGACGAGCTGTCGTGACTTCCGACCCGATAGAAGGCAGCGTCGATTTGTTGAAGCTTCAAAAGAGGCGAGACTTGTGACTTTCGACCGACAAAAGGTAGCGTCGAAGGAGATGAGGCGATGAGCGGTCGTGACTTCTGACCCGATAAAAGGAACTTATGAACAACATCGAAGGCATCAAAGCCTTGAAGGAATGGGTTTGCAGGTTGAAGTTGGGTTTTCAGGTTGACTTGAACCCGACATGAATTTGCAATCAGGTCGGGATGTTAAACCTGAACCCGGCCCCTTTTTCAAACCGGTTGACCCTAACTCGAAACTTTTGGGTCGGATTTTCGGATCGGGTCAAATATTGACATCCCTAATAAGTAGATAAAGCGCTCAATTTGTGTCGGTCCATTTGGCTTATAAAACGTTGCATGATATTGCCAATGGGGATGCTAAAACTAGAATCAATCTACCAGTATCATGAGTTATTTGACTCATATGAAATTAAAAATACAGAAAAGATTTGAGATTCTTTCTTTTCAAACCAAATCTTAAGTTTAGGATAAACTTAAAAAAAAAAAAACAAAAAATTTTTTTTTTATTTAAATGAGTTAATTTAACTTAGTTAATTAGTTAACTTAAATTAATTAATATTATTATTATTTTATTAAAATTAGTTAATTCTTTTTTTATTATACATATATTATTATTCCTAAAAAAATTGAAGATCCACTGAAAATTCGTCCGAAATCTTTAGGAAATATTTCATCAAAAATTTGCTGGAAATCAATTGAAAGTTCGTTAGAAATCCCTCCAAAATCCATCCAAAAATTTGCCGAAATTTTCAACATAAAATTTCTATCATAAATTCCGCGGATAATTTGCATTTTTTTGAGATATAATCACATCATTTTCTTAAATAAAATATCTTTTAGATGAAGATACGTCATGCAAGCATCTTTTTGTCATGTCGTGCATCATAATTTGAATATCTCTTGGAAATAGTATATCTGTTTTGTATCTATTTTTTTAGAAAATTCTATTTATATATTATATATAACAGCTGTAAGGTAGATATATATGAAAATATTTTTTTGGAATGCTTCGCTGCATCATTTTTGATGTTTAACCACATATTCTCGAACTTTTATTAGGTCCGATGTAAGGATGTTAGAGGAACGTCCGGTCGAAGGCAAAATCCCGCCAAAAAACTCGGTACTTGCTCGGTATTGCTAGGTATTAGTTGATAATAATGAGGAATACCGCTCTGTGAAGACCAATACCGAGTTATACCGAGCAATACCGAGTTGTACCGAGTTTTTTCTAGGAAAAACTCGGTACAACTTTTGTATAACTCGGTATTGCTCGGTATAACTCGATATTGAGTCTTCACGTGATGGTGTTCCTCGTTATTGTTTGGTATTGCTCGGTATTTGCTCAGTATTTCTAGTTTTTTGGCGCGATTTGGACTCTGACCGGACGTTCCTTTACGTCCGGTCGGAGGACATAATAATTGTTCCATATTCTCTCAGATGAAATACCTCCCAATTAAAATTGCATAATTTTTTTCAAATAAGATATTGTTTGAGATGAGGGTATATATCACACATTCTTCCCCAAATGAGAGAAATTTTCGGGTCCGCTCGTCGGGCCGCCAAATTCAAAAATCCACGTGCCATAATCCCAGTATTTGCCATCGGGTCATTTCGGGTTATCGGGCTGCTACGTGGCACATGTTTAGAGCATACCAAATGTAGAGCTACATCAGGTAACATGACATAATAAAATTCCCAAATGAGATGCCTATTGAGAAATAATCACATCATTTTCTCAAATGAGTTATATTTTAGATGAAAAGTCACATCCTCAACAGATAACAAATATCAAAGATAATAATTAATCAAAAGACAACAATAATTATCTTAATTTAATGGACCACTTAGATATTAAATAAATTTATTTAATTATTAGTTATATTAATTAAATAACATTTTATTAATATTTTTCTCTAAGATGGGGGGACATGTTGTGATATTTTTTGAAAAAATATCATATTGTACCATGATATATTTTCCTTTTTTTTTTCTTAATAACTTTTTGAATATTTAAATTTAATGAGTTCCCGATAATATTCCAACCTCTAACAACCTCCAATCTTCTTCTTCATATGTTGTCAATTTGTTAATGACCACAACTCATTCAAATGATGCCAATAAGTTTTCACAAAGTTTTAAATGGCGAATCAAACCCTAGTTTGGAACAATTATTACGATCGAATGAGAGAAACATTCGGTTCGCAGGCAAAAATCCCGCGGTACTGAGGTGTACCGAATTTTTTGAAAAACTTCCCTAGTTTGAGCTTCGATCTCACCTGTTGATGTTTTCCGCCAACTTGCTTTTGCGAAAGTTCAAACAACAATTCAAATCTTTGATCGAACCAAGATTTGATCGCATCGATATTTTCCACCAACAAGCTTCCTCAAATCTTTGAACGACAAATTCAAAGCTTAGTTTAAAATAAAATATGAATGTATAGATAATATTATGTAATCATGCATGATATAATTAAATAATTTAATATATAATAAATTATTGAGAAATAAAATAAGATTTTGGGTACACATTAAAATGTACATGGAATTATTATAAATAAAAGCATT